GCACCGCCGCTCTCGCCCCCGAGCCACGTGCCGCTTTTTAGCTTCAAATCCGTCGGCCAGACGCGACAGTTTATCCTGGAGGTCTTGTTTTAGACGCACGGCGTCCTCGTAAGTGGTGGCCCAGGCGGCACCGTCCTCGTGCAGGTTGTTCGTGAGGTTTTGGCAGAACTCGGACATCCGGGAAGCGAGACCAGCGGCGTCGCTTAGAACGTCTCCGAAATCTGGTTAAGATTGCGGCTGCTGCGTTTGAGCGTCTTCCTTAGTCTCCCTGGATCTTCTTTTTAAGAAATGACTAAGCCACTGTTCATCCTGCTTCCTCTGGAGAGCTTTTTCATCCACGGGAGACTCAGGACAAATCTCACTTGGTGCCTGGAAGTCGGTATTTGGCGGATTCCAGTGATAATTCTGCACTACTGGTGGATACGTCGGAAGCGGAGGTGGAATGTTGGGGAAGTAGCCCAAAGGAGGAGGTTGCGGAGGTGGGAGAACACAGGGGAATCCGGGAGGAAGATGACTGGAGGGTATTTCGTACCCATAGTTGCTTGGCATGCTTCCGCCGGTGAGGTAGTTGCCAGGATTTGGGTGATTCCCAGGCACACCGGAGCCATACTTCCAGTCCATTTTTTTTTTTTCTAACAATGATCGAAAAGGCTTTAGCAAATGGATTTACTCACTTTTCCCTGACGTCCACTCGATGACTCGGGTGGGAAACTCCAGCTGATACACATAAAGGTCCCTGTACCTGCACAACAAACAGAGAAGACAGGGTCATGAGTTTTACATTCAGAAATGTTCTTTCAAAAAGACAGCCATTTCCCTACTGTGGCACGAATTAAAAACATCTAATTCAATGACATTAGCTTCGAGAGGAGACTTAAATTATTGCGTAAAGCAAATGGCATCGGCAAAGGCTGGCCAACATACGAAATAGACACATTTAAAACACGAGTTGGTCTAATAAGAAATGTAATATAGAAAATAGTAATGATTAATAAGTCTCTCAAATTTAGAGTAATTCCGAATGGAGTTCAAGCTGTAGAGTCGCAGGCGTCCGCCAGGCTACGAATCGCTCAAGTAAGAGGCAAGACAAAAATAAGAAATCGATTAGAACTTAGGGCGTTTTAAATTAAACGTGCTGTAACATAAGAAATCGTCGTGGTAGACAGCAAAGCCGCAGACGACCGAGAAGCCTGAAAACCACGAGGAGAATCGAGCCGAAATAAGCGTTATGTGCAATTGAATCCTGAAACAAATTTAAATTTCGTGTCGTAAAAGAAACTCGCGTTATGACTAGATGCTTTGCAAAACTCGGAAAAATTCGCAGCGAGTTCAACATGTAAAGCCGCAGACGTCCTCACGCTAATTTTAGTATGCTAATTTCTTCGTATT